GGAAGATGGAAGGAATATTTTGAGGAATTGTTAAATGTTGATGAAGATAGGGAAGCTGTGATTTCGTGTATAGGCAAGGAGGAATAACATCTTGTAGGAGTGAGGAAGAGCCAGTTGTGGAGTGTGGGGAAGTTTCGTGAGGCAGTAGGTAAAATGAAAGGGGGTAAGGCAGCCGGGATTGATGGGATAAAGATAGAAATGTTAAAAGCAGGTGGGGATATAGTTTTGGAGTGGTTGGTGCAATTGTTTAATAAATGTATGGAAGAGGGTAAGGTACCTAGGGATTGGCAGAGAGCATGCATAGTTCCTTTGTATAAAGGCAAAGGGGATAAAAGAGAGTGCAAAAATTATAGGGGGATAAGTCTGTTGAGTCCTAGGTAGTAGGTTGGTAGACAGCAACCGCCCAGGGAGGTACTACCGTCCTGCCAAGTGAGTGTAAAACGTAAGCCTGTAATTGTTTTACATGATGGTAGGATTGCTGGTGTCCTTTTTTCTGTCTCATGAACATGCAAGATTTCAGGTACGTCTTGCTACTTCTACTTACACTTAGGTCACACTACACATACATGTACAAGCACATATATGCACACCCCTCTGGGTTTTCTTCTATTTTCTTTCTAGTTCTTATTCTTGTTTATTTCCTCTTATCTCCATGGGGAAGTGGAACAGAATTCTTCCTCCGTAAGCCATGCGTGTTGTAAGAGGCGACTAAAATGCCGGGAGCAAGGGGCTAGTAACCTCTTCTCCTGTATATATTACTAAATGTAAAAGGAGAAACTTTCGTTTTTCCTTTTGGGCCACCCCGCCTCGGTGGGATACGGCTGGTGTGTTGAAAGAAAGAAGTCTGTTGAGTGTACCTGGTAAAGTGTATGGTAGAGTTATAATTGAAAGAATTAAGAGTAAGACGGAGAATAGGATAGCAGATGAACAAGGAGGCTTTAGGAAAGGTAGGGGGTGTGTGGACCAGGTGTTTACAGTGAAACATATAAGTGAACAGTATTTAGATAAGGCTAAAGAGGTCTTTGTGGCATTTATGGATTTGGAAAAGGCGTATGACAGGGTGGATAGGGGGGCAATGTGGCAGATGTTGCAAGTGTATGGTGTAGGAGGTAGGTTACTGAAAGCAGTGAAGAGTTTTTACGAGGATAGTGAGGCTCAAGTTAGAGTATGTAGGAAAGAGGGAATTTTTTCCCAGTAAAAGTAGGCCTTAGACAAGGATGTGTGATGTCACCCGTGGTTGTTTAATATATTTATAGATGGGGTTGTAAGAGAAGTAAATGCGAGGGTCTTGGCAAGAGGCGTGGAGTTAAAAGATAAAGAATCACACACAAAGTGGGAGTTGTCACAGCTGCTCTTTGCTGATGACACTGTGCTCTTGGGAGATTCTGAAGAGAAGTTGCAGAGATTGGTGGATGAATTTGGTAGGGTGTGCAAAAGAAGAAAATTAAAGGTGAATACAGGAAAGAGTAAGGTTATGAGGATAACAAAAAGATTAGGTGATGAAAGATTGAATATCAGATTGGAGGGAGAGAGTATGGAGGAGGTGAACGTATTCAGATATTTGGGAGTGGACGTGTCAGCGGATGGGTCTATGAAAGATGAGGTGAATCATAGAATTGATGAGGAAAAAGAGTGAGTGGTGCACTTAGGAGTCTGTGGAGACAAAGAACTTTGTCCTTGGAGGCAAAGAGGGGAATGTATGAGAGTATAGTTTTACCAACGCTCTTATATGGGTGTGAAGCGTGGGTGATGAATGTTGCAGCGAGGAGAAGGCTGGAGGCAGTGGAGATGTCATGTCTGAGGGCAATGTGTGGTGTGAATATAATGCAGAGAATTCGTAGTTTGGAAGTTAGGAGGAGGTGCGGGATTACCAAAACTGTTGTCCAGAGGGCTGAGGAAGGGTTGTTGAGGTGGTTCGGACATGTAGAGAGAATGGAGCGAAACAGAATGACTTCAAGAGTGTATCAGTCTGTAGTGGAAGGAAGGCGGGGTAGGGGTCGGCCTAGGAAAGGGTTGGAGGGAGGGGGTAAAGGAGTTTTGTGTGCGAGGGGCTTGGACTTCCAGCAGGCATGCTTGAGCGTGTTTGATAGGAGTGAATGAGACAAATGGTTTTTAATACTTGACGTGCTGTTGGAGTGTGAGCAAAGTAACATTTATGAAGGGATTCAGGGAAACCGGAAGGCCGGACTTGAGTCCTGGAGATGGGAAGTACAGTGCCTGCACTCTGAAGGAGGGGTGTTAATGTTGCAGTTTAAAAACTGTAGTGTAAAGCACCCTTCTGGCAAGACAGTGATGGAGTGAATGATGGTGAAAGTTTTTCTTTTTCGGGCCACCCTGCCTTGGTGGGAATCGGCCGGTGTGATAATAAAAAAAAAAATAGTTCTTGGTCTTACTACTTTTCCTTTTATATCCATGGGGAAGTGGAATAAGAATCTTTCCTCCGTAAGCCATGCGTGTTGTAAAAGTCAACTAAAATGCCGGGAACAATGGACTAGTAACCCCTTTTCCTGTAAAGATTACTAAAAAGAATAAGAAGAAGAAAATTGTCAAAGTGGGAAGTCTGAATGTGCGTGGATGTTGTGCAAATGATAAGAAAGAGATGATTGTGGATGTTATGAATGAGAAGAAGCTGGATGTCCTGGCTTTAAGTGGAACAAAGCTGAAGGGGGTGGGAGAGTTTCAAGGGAGAAGAATAAATGGGATTAGGTCATGGGTTTCAAATAGAGTTAGAGCTAAAGAAGGAGTAGCAATAATGTTGAAAGATAAGTTATTGCAGGAAAAGAGGGACTATAAATGTATTAATTCAAGGATTATGTGGAGTAAAATAAAGATTGGATGTGAAAAGTGGGTTATAATAAGCGTGTATGCACCTGGAGAAGAGAGAAGTGTAGAGGAGAGAGAGAGATTTTGGGAAATGTTGAGTGAAGGGCGGGGGGAGTTTTGAATCAAGTGTGAGAGTAAGGTGGTTGGGGATTTCAATGCAAAAGTGGGTAAAAATGTTATAGAGGGAGTAATAGGTAAATTTGGGGTGCCAGGGGTAATGTAAATGGGGAGCCTTTAATTGAGTATGTGTAGAAAGAGATTTGGTAATAAGTAATACATTTTTTATGAAAAAGAGGATAAATAAATATACAAGGAAATGAGTAGCACATAATGAAAGTAGTTTATTAGATATGTATTGGTGGATAAAAGGTTGATGGGTAGGCTCCAGGATGTCATGTTTATAGAGGGGCAACTGAAAATCAGATAAATTATTTAGTTGTAGCTACAGTTAGAGTAAGAGGTAGATGGGAAAAGGGGAAAGGGTGGAAACAACAGTAAGAGGGAGGTGAAAGTGTATAAAACTAAGGGATGAGGAAGTTCGGGTGAGATATAAGCAACTATAGGCAGATAGGGGGGCTAGTGCAAAAGATGAGTAGTGGGGGGGGGTTGAAGAGGGTTGGAATAGTTTTAAAAATGCAGTATTAGAATGTGGGGCAGAAGTTTGTGGTTATAGGAGGGTGGGGGCAGGAGGAAAGAGGAGGGGATTGGTGGAATGATGAAGTAAAGGGTGTGATAAAAGAGCAAAAGGTAGCTTACGAGGGGTTTTTTCACAAAGCAGAAGTGTTAAAAGAAGAGCAGAGTATATGGAGAGTAAAAGAAAGGTGAAGAGAGTGGTGAGAGAGGGGCAAAAGGAGAGCAGATGAAAGAGGGGGAGAGGCACTGTCAAGAATTTTAATGAAATAAGAAAAAATTTTGGAGTGAGTTAAACAAGTTAAGAAAGCCTAGGGAAAGTATGGATTTGTCATTTAAAAACCCAGAGTGGGGGAGTTAGTAGATGGGGAGATGGGGGTATTAGGTAGAGGGCGAGAATATTTTGAGGAACTTTTAAAAATGTTAAGGAAGAAAGAGAGGCAGAAATTTCATGCACTGGGTCAGGGAGGTATACCATCTTTTAGGATGAAGAAGAGCAAATGTAAGTGTGGGGGAGGTACGTGAGGCATTACGTAGAATGAAAGGGGGTAAAGCAGCTGGAACTGATGGGATCATGACAGAAATGTTAAAAGCAGGGGGGGGATATAGTGTTGGAGTGGTTTGGGACTTTTGTTTAATAAATGTATGAAAGGGGGGAAGGTACCTAGGGGTTGGGAGAGAGCATGTATAGTCCCTTTATATAAAGGGAAAGGGGACAAAAGAGACTAAAAATTATAGAGGAATAAGTTTACTGAGTATACCAAGAAAAGTGTACAGTAGGGTTTTAATTGAAAGAATTAGAGGTAAGACAGAATGTAGGGCTGGGAGATGACAAGGAGGTTCAGAGTGGGGAGGGGATGTGTAGATCAAATGTTTACATTGAAGCATATGTGAACAGTATTTAGATAAAGGTAGGAAGTTTTTTATTGCATTTATGGATTTAGAAAAGGCATATGATAGAGTGGATAGAGGAGCAATGTGGCAGATGTTGCAAGTATATGGAATAGGTGGTAAGTTTATTAAATTGCTGTAAAGAGTTTTATGAGGATAGTGAGGCTCAGGTTAGGGTGTGTAGAAGAGAGGGAGACTACTTCCCAGTAAAAGTAGGTCTTAGACAGGGATGTGTAATGTCACCATGGTTGTTTAATATATTTATAGATGGGGTTGTAAAGGAAGTAAATGCTAGGGTGTTCGGGAGAGGGGGGGGATTAAATTTTGGAGAATCAAATTCAAAATGGGAATTGGACACAGTTACTTTTTGCTGATGATACTGTGCTTATGGGAGATTCTAAAGAAAAATTGCAAAAGTTAGTGGATGAGTTTGGGAATGTGTGTAAAGGTAGAAAGTTGAAAGTGAACATAGAAAAGAGTAGGTGCTGAGGGTATCAAATGATTTAGATAAAGAAAAATTGGATATCAAATTGGGGAGGAGGAGTATGGAGAGTGAATGTTTTCAGATACTTGGGAGTTGACGTGTCAGCGGATGGATTTATGAAGGATGAGGTAATCATAGATTAATGAGGGAAAAAAGGTGAGTGGTGCATTGAGGTATATGTGGAGTCAAAAAACGTTATCTATGGAGGCAAAGGGAATGTATGAAAGTATAGTAGTACCAACACTCTTATATGGGTGTGAAGCTTGGGTGGTAAATGCAGCAGCAAGGAGACGGTTGGAGGCAGTGGAGATGTCCTGTTTAAGGGCAATGTGTGGTGTAAATATTATGCAGAAAATTCGGAGTGCGGAAATTAGGAAAAGGTGTGGAGTTGATAAAAGTATTAGTCAGAGGGCAGAAGAGGGGTTGTTGAGGTGGTCTGGTCATTTAGAGAGAATGGATCAAGTAGAATGACATGGAAAGCATATAAATCTATAGGGGAAGGAAGGCGGGGTAGGGGTCGTCCTCGAAAAGGTTGGAGAGAGGAGGTAAAGGAGGTTTTGTGGGCAAGGGGCTTGGACTTCCAGCAAGCGTGCGTGAGCGTGTTAGATAGGAGTGAATGGAGACGAATGGTACTTGGGACCTGACGATCTGTTGGAGTGTGAGCAGGGTAATATTTAGTGAAGGGATTCAGGGAAACCGATTATTTTCATATAGTCGGACTTGAGTCCTGGAAGTGGGAAGTACAATGCCTGCACTTTAAAGGAGGGGTTTGGGATATTGGCAGTTTGGAGGGATATGTTGTGTATCTTTATATGTGTATGCTTCTAAACTGTGTATTCTGAGCACCTCTGCAAAAACAGTGATAATGTGCGAGTGTGGTGAAAGTGTTGAATGATGATGAAAGTATTTTCTTTTTGGGGATTTTCTTTCTTTTTTGGGTCACCCTTTTGGGTTCACGGTGGGAGACGGCCGACTTGTTGAAAAAAAAAAAAAAAAGACATCAAAATGAAGAAAAGGAACAGATTTTGTTGTAAAAATGATATAAGAGTGGCACTTGCCAAGGTGAAGCCACGCATTTTTGAACTTGTCTCTGAAAGGCAACACCAAAAGTCACATTGATTAGCAGTTTTGATTAAAATCATATTTTGAAAAAATCATATTTCATTTTACCAACTACAAAGGGTTCGGTGAATGCACAGATGAAACTTGCAGGGTTCAATACCTCCAACAAGGTTAAGAATCATTGGCTTATAACATTACAATTGTTTCAGTGTGTAATACTCCTCAAAACATGAAAATTATTCCCACTAACTTTACTGGGTTATCCTGGGTAAAATATACTTCATGTACTTTGTGGTGGAATTCCACTGTTAATATCAGGAAGTTTTAGTAAAATTGGACTGAAAAAGTCATCACTGTCACTTGCACACCCTGTATGCTGGAAGGCAGCTGGTGGTAGAAAAACGACTCCTGATTCACTGTTTACTTTTGCTGGATAGGTGTACTAGTACGTCGATGATAGTCATCACCTGAGTAGTGAACCATGATACAATGTGTGGACCCTGCTAGCCTTGGATCTTTTTTTTTCAAATGTATGGCTAAATGGGAGAAGATCCCAAAGAGTTGTGCTGAGGTTAAAAATATTGGCTGGTGGCAGATTTGATGGGTAAAAAAAAAATGTGCATTGTGCTAGTACACTGAACACAGACAGCATTTGCGAACTAGTACACAAGACACAGTTTAAGGGCTAAAAATTGTAGGATTTTCTTGTTTTTAAATCTGTCATTGTCAAAACATTTTTTTTCCCAGGTCTGCCACAGTTTAAGGGTTAATTTGTACAGGTACAATATTCAAAAGATACATGTACAAATGTAATATATGCTTCACAAACCTATGTAATATACAGGCTTTAGGAAGCTTAATTTATAATTGAAATTGTAAAACATTTTATGGACAAACCCTTCAGCATAAAGTTTTAGAGGTATAGCTATGGGTATATTTAACCCTTTGACTGTCGCAACCCCCAATCTTAGTGTCTCTCAGTGTCACAAAATATTAAAAAGTCTTATGAAATGAGAATCTTCCCAATGCTAATGACACCAAAAGTATGAAATTTGGTGGAAAACTTATGGAATTATGCTCTCGCGAAGTTAGCGATCTTGGTGATATTTACGAATTGGCGATTTCGCCCACTTTGAGCCCTATTTTCGGCCAATTCCATTGTTCCAGTCGACCAAACTCAGCTATTTCTTTAGAACTCCAACTCCAATTGTTCTATCAAGCGAGTACAAAAAACTGCCCATTTACCAATCTAAACTACCCAATAAAGTGGTCAGAAATTGGCAATTTGGCCAATTTCATGCAAATTAAAAAATATGCCAGTTTCAAAATAGGGTCCAAAATGAACAATGCAGACATTTCTGGCACTAAAATAACATTTCCTCTGTTCATCAGTCACATCTCCAGGCCCCTCTTATATACTCTTGCTTTCTATTTTGAATTTTTATTCACACAAAAAAATAGAAGATTTATTATTAAGCAGACTACTGCATTATTGTAATAATTGTATAAATAATGTCAGCCCATTCGTGACTGCGTATTAGAATGGCTAGTTGGGCACTTATTGGACAATGATGTCATTTGTTTACTCTTGAACATCGGCAAAAATCGAACATTGCGCTACTTAGAGTATCATTTCAAGGTCCTTTTCATAGTGAAACCAATCAAAATCATCTCTATTTCTATAATATGTCTTCCATTCCATCAAATGCAGCCAAGAAAACGAGAATACAACCATAAATACTATACGAAAATACACCTCAAATTCGGCACTTTAATCCAAAAACATTGTCAGAGTTTTTTTTTTCTCATTATGCAGTGCGTGCTGCAGGATTTTTTTTATACTGTGCACACTGACCACAGTGACCACACAGACCCATTCTCTCACATGTGGGCCTACCAGCTTTCTCCTGCTTGATTTGAAGCCACTAGAATTTTTGAGTCTATATACATGTCAAACATGTTGGCTCGTAAGACGTGTATATATATACGACTGAAACAGTCAAAGGGTTAAAAGGAAACACTTAAATTTTTCTTTTTAGGTCATCTACCTTGGTGGGATACAGCTGGTGTTTTAAAAAAAAAAAAAAAAGGTTAAGGGTATTCCTTTGTACTTCCTCACATTCGTAAGATTATATTCACTACCTATACCTATATTAATCTGCTTACCCAGTTTAATGTTGCAAGTGAAATGTTAATTACAATTTACAAATGCCAGGGAAAAATTATGCAAGAGAATTTCTACATGAAATACAGTATATAAATAAATATGTGCCCACCTGAGGAAACCATGGTCGCACAACACACACTCCAGCTTCTGAGGCGATGCTACTGACTGCTGGTACTATGTATGGATGCTGTAAAGCACAAAAATATTAAAGAATTATTTTGTATACAGTTTATCAGTGAACAATCAGTTTTTTCTGTTACATTATCACAAAATTAGCAGCAATGCATTATGCAACTAATTGTTATCCCTAAACTAATTTTAAATCTCCAAGCATCACTTAAATTTTTCTTTTCGTTGAAGAAGGAAGAGGAGTAAGACAGAGGGAGGATGGAGGGGGAAGAGGTGGGAGGGAAGAGGACAAGGAGGGAGGAAGCAGGATGGAGGGAGGAAGCAGGATGGAGGGAGGAGCAGAAGTAGGAGGAGGAGGAGCAAAAAGAGGAGGAGGAGCAAAAGGAGGAGGAGGAGCAAAGGAGGAGGAGGAGCAAAGGAGGAGGAGGAGGAGGAGGAGCAAGAGGAAGAGTAGGAGGAGGAGCAAGAGGAAGAGTAGGAGCAGGAGCAAGAGGAAGAGTAGGAGCAGGAGCAAGAGGAAGAGTAGTAGGAGCAGGAGCAAGAGGAAGAGGAGTAGTAGGAGCAGGAGCAAGAGGAAGAGGAGTAGTAGGAGCAAGAGCAAGAGGAAGAGGAGTAGTAGGAGCAGGAGCAAGAGGAAGAGGAGTAGTAGGAGCAGGAGGAAAGGATCTATATGTACATTTCTGTGTTTTAGCTACAATACCAATTAAGTTGAAAGTTGACCATTCGTGCTTGTACTACTATGGTAATTGCACTGACAAGGTTTGGTATAGCACACACAAAAGGTTGTTCAATTTTGTCCAAAGTGTAATTTTTTTTTTTTTTTTTTTTAAACACATTGGCTGTTTCCCACTAAGGCAGGGTGGCCTGAAAAAGAAAAACTTTTTCATCATTCACTCCATCACTGTCTTGCCAGAGGCATGTTTGCACTACAGTTATAAAACTGCAACATTAACACCCCTCCTTCAGAGTGCAGACACTGTACTTCCCATCTCCAGGACTCAAGTCTGGCCAGCTGGTTACCTCGCTTACACTCCAACAGCACGTCAAGTCCTCAAAACCATTTGTCTCCATTCGCTCCTCTCTAACACACTCATGCATGCTTGCTGGAAGTCCAAGCCCCTTGGACACAAAACCTCCTTTACCCTCCTTCCTCCAATCTTTCCTAGGCTGACCCCTACCCCACCCTCCCTTCCCTACACATTTAAGCATTCTCAAAGACATTCTATTTTGTTCCATACTCTCTACATGTCCAAACTACCTCAACAACCCCTCCTCAGCCCTCTGGATAAAAGTTTTGGCAATTTCACACCTCCTCCTAAGTCTCTACCACTACTAATCCCAGTAGACAGGAAAGATGTTATTCAGAATTTTTTAGTGAAAAGGACAAACCTTTCAAAAATCATGTAGGCATGTTTCTCAGCAAAGCAAAGTCTATTTATATACAGTAAAAGCCTTACATTCTCTTCCAAAACATCTGTATAACTTTAATAGGTTGCTATTAAAATGCATGTACAATAATGCATAGAGAGAAATTCAAGAAATAATTCTCATCACATTTACAGTTTTACCTGACACTGCACAAGAGCTGTGAGTGTAGCATGAGTATCCCGAAGGTTCATAGCTTTATCAGGACCAAAAGGAGCCCACCACAGCACATGCTGTGTTTTACTATCTGCCAAAGGGTGTGCCAGAAAATATTCTTTGGCTATACGAGTACCACAACTCGGCAAAACTTCTGTTACCTCATGACTTCCTCCAGATCTAAGAACAATATGAACATTCTGCCTTGCTTCCTCTGTAAATAAAAAGTGCTTTTATTCACATAAAATTTTGTAAATATTACAAAGATAATTCACATAATTATGAGTATTGTATATGTGGAAGTATGCCACATTTTGGAGGGGCAATACTCCAATCCTTACTGTATGGTAGTGTAACAAATGAATTTTTTGTCTTTTACTTTGTTGACTTTCCATAAAGACTCGCCAAAATCTGAAAAGATTAGTTCAAAAAAGTGGATATACTTCACTCCAAAATCTGTAAAAAAATTAGTTCCAAAAAGTGAATATACTGTACATCATTATATCAATTAATGTGCTGAGATAAGCAAACTGCAGTACAAAAAAAAAAACTGTACTTACTGAATAGAGGTAATAGCCATAATACAAGAGATTAAAGAAAAATGCAACACTGTTTTTGCACAACAAATATTTGTATTTATATTATTAACCAGTGTGTTGCTAAGTTGACCCAGCTATTACAATACATCAAGAAATGTAGGAAGTCTTAGTTCCTTCATATGGCTAGGTACATACTGTATTTGCAAATGAAAGATGGCCAATAATGACAAAATGTGGCCCATAGGCCCATAGTTGTGCTACCCTGTGTAACTTAGCAAGTTAGAAGCATAATTTTATTGCATTTACCTAGGAAATTCCTTGTATAATTTGTTGGATCAAGAAATCTCTTAACTGGAAGTGATGAAGCCAACAGAGGATTGAAGAGAATGCCTTCCAGATATTTCTGCAAAATATTAAGAAGTACAGTACAGAATTTACACACAGTATAATTAATACTAATGATAAATTAAAATCAAACTCCAATGATGCTTTCTTATTTGCATTTTTCTTTGCAAATTTGAAAAAAATGAGTCTGAAAATATTAGGAGTGTAAATCAATTTAGCTGTTCTTTAAAATGAAAAGGTAAATAAATACGTACAGTGAATTCACAAAAAAAAAAAAAAAAAAAAAAAAAAAAAAAAAAAATTAGAAAGAAGAGCATACTTTCAGCTTATGACCAAGGTTGATTTATTTTTTTTTTTTATTTAATCATCACACTGGCAGATTCCCACCAAGGCAGGGTGGCCCGAAAAAGAAAAACTTAAACCATCATTCACTCCATCACTGTCTTGCCAGAAGGGTGCTTTACACTACAGTTTTTAAACTGCAACATTAACACCCCTCCTTCAGAGTGCAGGCACTGTACTTCCCATCTCCAGGACTCAAGTCCGGTCTGCCGGTTTCCCTGAACCCCTTCATAAATGTTACTTTGCTCACACTCAAACAGCACGTCTCCATTTGTCTCCATTCACTCCTATCAAACATGCTCACGCATGCCTGCTGGAAGTCCAAGCCCCTCGCACACAAAACCTCCTTTACCTCCTCCCTTGTGTGTTGATTTATAGCAGAGAATACACACTACTGATGTACTGCACAATAAATTAAGTTTTGCCAATTTTTTTTCCTTCTTTCTAGACTTGATATACCTTTGACAGGTTTCAAGAGTTTTCCTACTCCCACAGTCCAGCCCTGGGCCTGGCTTATCTGGTGCTTGCCTGTTCAACCAGGCTGTTGCTGTTGGCAACCAATTGGCCTATACATATATCAATTACAGCTTAGTTGCTCTTGCACTTGTTGAATTTCCTCTTGAAGACTTCTACACTTGTTACAGCAGTGCTTCTAATATTTTTTGGTGTAATGTTAGTTTGGGTCTACAGATATTGATACGTTTTCTTATTGTGCCCATGGTGCTCCTTTTTTTCACTGGGATTATTTTACATTTTCTCCTTTATCTCTCACTCCTGTATATTGCTATGGCAGTATGCAGATTTAGAACTAGGACCTCAAGTACAGTACCTTCCACATAAATATTATCATGTAGAGTATCTCCCTTCCCCTCCACTCCAACAAGTACATATTTAGAATTTTGAGGCTTTACCAGTAATTTAAATGCTTTATTGGCCTTATACTAGCCAAAAATTATCTCTATCTGTTCTGGCTCCAATATCTCTCCTGCCCTGAAAGAAGTGGTTAACACTGAACACTAAGTGAAAGAGCACAAGCAACTTGAATAGTATCTAGTATCACCATTGACACTTTCCATTGTTTTGAAAGTATCCCACCCTGAAATTTTCCTGGCTTTCAAGACATTTGCCTTTTGTGTTCCTTAATAGAAAGGCCAGATGACATTATTACACAGAGGCCCTTCAGATGTTCCTATCGATTCACCATTATTTCCAAATCTAAGCAATTGGAACTTGTCACCACTGAATGTTATTCTTCATTGCCCACCGGAAGATGTATATAAAGTATCTATGTTCTTACAACTTTTGTGTGTCTTTTACCAAGGCCTCTTCATAACATACGGAAAGCATTTGATACAGCTGACAATGATCTCTTGCCCCTAAAACTTGAACATTACAGGGTCAGAGGACACTCACTTGACTACCTTAAATCATATCTTAGCAACAGACATCAGTATGTATACACAAATGGTATTGCCTCCACCACACAACCTGTTCTAGTTGAAGTCCCCCAGGGCAGTGTTCTTGGACCACTTCTCTTTCTCATTTACATACATCAATGACCTCCCTAATGCCTCCAAACTACTTAAACCTGTTCTTTCTGCAGATGACACTACCTATATCTTCTCTCTCACAAACCAAACCATACTTAGAAACACAGTAAACAATGAGCTGCTAAAAATATCCACTTGGATGACCGACAAACTTACTCTCAATATCAACAAAACCTACTTCATTCTGTTTGGTAACAGAGCTGTAAATAGTAAGCTAAACATATCGATAAACGGTTCCTCCATTTCAAGACACACTGATGGAAAATTTCTAAGGCTCCACATCGACAGCTGTCTTAAATTTCAGACCCACATACAGCATATTTCCAAAAAATCTCCAAAACGGTAGGCATCCTCTCTAAGATACGGTACTCTGTACCCCAAACGCCATTTCTTGCTCTTTGCCATTCTCTCATCTACCCTTACCTCACTTATGGTATTTGTGCATGGAGTTCAACCACAGCAGATCACCTTAAACCTTTAATTACACAACAGAAAGCTGCTGTGAGAATGATTACAAACTCCTGCACCAAGCAACCCACCCCACCACTATTTAAGAGCTTGAACCTGCTTCATATACAAAATATCCACTTACATTATTGTGCTTACTACAGTAGGCACAATAGGCACTACAGTGGCTGTGATGAACTCTAGCTCAAGTCCCCTCAATGCCGTCAACATGACTCACGAAATCGTAGTGACACGATTACAAACAAACCATACCACGGGCGGGATTTGAACCCGCGGTCAGTCTCAAAACTCCAGACCGTCGCGGCCACGCTAGCTGGAGATTCGTCTGTAAAAACTTGCATTTGTGGTCACAGTGGTGCCTATGCTAACCTTCCTATGGTGTAGAAATATACCTAGTTGGACGAATCTTATTGTGGCTAGCTGGTCCAATGGCTAACGCGACAGTCTGGAGTTTTGAGACTCTGACCGCAGGTTCAAATCCCACCCGTGGTATGGTTTAACTACAACAGAACCCACTTACATAACACAAGACACAAAACACTATTTGATATCCCTCATGTCCATCTCTCCCTATGCAAAAATGCATTGCACATAAAGGGCCCTAAGATCTGGAATGCAGTGCCTGAAAATACAAAAGGGCTCCTGCCTGCACACTAATTCAAGGCACTACTTAGAAATCACCATCTCCCAAAACTAACAACACAAACACCATATACTATTGCCACCATCAACTCAAATTTTATAAGATTTCAAAACTAAAATTGTCTCAATCTCATTATGCATAACATGCTAAAATATAATTCTGTAACTTGTTATTCAACTGCCTGTTAATCTAATTACTATGAAACCGCTACTATCTCTGTTGATATGTAAAAAACAATGTTCAATTCAAATCAACTATGATATATATGTCTAGTATTAAGTAGTCTGTAAAGCATTAGGTTTAGTCTACCCGAAATGCCTTGGCATGACAGTGACTTTCTTTGCACTTAGCAAATTAATATTGTAATTACACATTGTAAACTATGCATGGAAATAAAAATTTAAATTGGAATTGGAATAGGTAATTTTCATGCTTACTTTAGTACCATTCACAAATGATGTGAAATTGTGGCAAGTGTTTTTGTGTATGTCCACTGTGAGGATAAGAAACTTACAGTAAAGGCACCAGGACCAAGCCTTGGGTACTGAGCTTTTAACTTTAATGCTGGGATTTACTCTGTTTACTACCACTCCTGTGTGTTCTACTTGTCGGAAAGTTTAATATCCATTTACCAACTTTCCCCATTAATCGTACTGCCCTCAGTTTACATGCAATTACCCCATGAGTGCATTTGTCAAATGTCTTTGCAAAATCTGTGTATCCCACATTTCCATTATGGCTTTCTTCGAATGCCTTCATAATTCTGTTATAATAGCCTAGTACAGGGGTTGACAAACTGCGCCCAGCGGGCCGCATGTCATGCACAGCAACTTCAAATACAGTGAAACCTCAGTTTACAAATTTAATCCGTTCTGGGACCTTGCTCGTATCCCAATTTGTTCACGTGCCAAGTCAATTTTCCTCATTTAAATTAATTGAAATGCCATTAATCCATTTCAGCGGAATTCCTGCTCTCAGGAGGCAGCTTATCCATCACAATTCATCTAATATGACATAATAAACAATATTAATAACATAGAAACACATGTACTCTAGAATGAATAAAATGGGCCATAATATGGCCAGTGATGGTGCTGGCGGCAGCGGTGGCAGCATCCGCCATTTACTCTCCCACTCTGACTATAGTATCTTCCCATGCTCTTATTATAAGAGAAAATGGAGTGTTCACTTTTCACTGATTTACTTGCTTCACTCTTAATTAGTGTTGTACACATCGTAGAAGTATTATGCTGGTACTGCCTAGCCAAGTCCATAACTCCACACCTAGTTTGTGTTTATCTATGATTAGTGGTGAGGTTGTCACATATGTAACCACAGGTGTGGTTAAGACAGATGTATTTATAAGTGAAGATGTGATCACTGTGGCTACAGTTGTGGTGGCGGCGGCGGCCATCTGCCTCACTCTCTGCTGCTGCCTTCATTTCTCTAGCTTTTTTCGTAGTTGCTAATCGCTTCCTGAGCTTCTTGCTGATCGTACATGAATACTTTCTCTTTGGGCGAGGCCTTGTGTAAGAAATTTGTATAAGACAAAATTATGCGTCCCAAGGGTCTGCTGCGGTCACTCAGAGCGGCGCACTTCCTCTTTCTTTTGACCCTTGGTCAACACTGAGATCACCATTGGTCATAGCAGCTGTATCTACAGCCACCCAGAAGTTACCAATTTGTATTTTGAAGCATTTGGCACAAAAATATGAAAAGAAAGTACAAAAAATGTCTAAAAATGACAAATGTACTACTGTTATGGTATGCGTCACTATTATATTACTATTATTATAATTACGTATTATAATTACTATTAGTGGTACATACGTATTATATTATTAGTATGTACGTAATACGTACTTACGTATTACAGCCTCTCCTCACTTACCGACGTACTCATTTACAGACAACTTGGAGTTATGACAGGCTCTCTAATGAGTTGTTATTGTATACTGTATGAGAACTTGGGTCATGAACGGGCAGCGCAGCATCAGGCATCTTAATCTCTTTCCTACAGCCACTCAGTACACTAGCTTTCACAGTCTCCAAGAC